ACAGGGAACAGAATGTTTTTTGTATGTAATGATGCTTTGAAATCTTGATGATGATAATAAATAAATGATGATAATGATGATGATAAGAATGCCTGTAATAATATAATAATATAATATGATAATGTGATAGAGTATATAATATAGTATAACAATTAAGTGGGGAGCTAATATAAATAAGAAGTTGTTCAATATCGTGGCTTTTCTCCTTATATTTTTAAAGCCTGTATGGTTTTTCCAAAAATTATAGATACCCATTCAGGATATTTTGTATTCCAGCTCAATTGGTTGACTTCGCTTGTTGCTCTATAGGCCAATAATGGATCCTGGTTGTATTTGGATATGGTAGAATTAGGTGTTGACAAGTCGCCAAGATCCCATACAATGGCATTACAATCATCGCCACCACTACACAAAATATTTGATGAATTTGGTGACCAGTTAACACAATTCACAGGTGCATTATGTCCATTTAGTTCAGCCACCGGTAGCCCAGGAGCTCTAATATCCAATATTATAACCTCGGTAGAATTCATGTGAAAAGTGGCTATATAATATGGTGATATTTTATTAAAAGATAAACGAAGTAGTGGAGATTGTTGGTTTGAGGAGTTTGAGGAAGATCCAGTTTTTGAGGGTTGGGGCGGTGGTGTTTCATAAAGAATTGTAGAATGTTCCAATGATCTAAAATAATATGATTTAAAAATAATATGTATATAATATTATTATATTTTATAATTAAATTATTTTTCTTTTTGACTAAAAATCTCACCTACCTTAGATCAAATAACCTTACACTTCCATCGGCACCAACGCTAGCAAAAGTGTCAACTTCGTTTGTAAAGAAAGCAACGTCGTAAACTTCTTTATCATGAGCTATCAATTGTGTTTTTGCTTGACCTGTTTCAACATTCCATACAGTACATGTTGTATCTATACTAGACGTAACTGCTAAACTGGAGTCCAATTGATTCCAATCAAAAGATGTTAGTGGCGCTTTGAAGTCTACCTTTTTGTTCTTTAATGTTTGTTTAGTAATAAGTTGTTGTCTCCTATTAAATACTGTTTTATTATTATTATGATTATTATTATTGTTATTATTATTATATCCAATAGTATTACTTCCATTATTTGCTTCATCACTAACGATTTCCCACAATTTTAAATAATCACCAGTAGTTGCTAACAAATCTGACGTCTTTGATCCACCCTATAAGACCATACAATTAATTAATTTCAATTATTAAATTAAAATAAATTGATTGATTTATAATCAAAAAGATACAAACTTTATATGGTTCCCATAATACTTTTGTTATGGGATAATGATGATCTGCTTCTGCTATTTT